AGAGTCCCTTTTTGGTTAACTGTGCCTGTGCTGTGTGACTTTTTCAGTAGAGGGGAAAATCAAGTTCAAACAACAGCACAGGGAGAAAAAGAAAATTATCTAGATCTATATATATGGTTACTTGGTCTAAACAACTTTTGCACAACTGTGAGGAAACACAATGAAAGATATAGCTACTGGGGAACTGTCCGTCTAAATCACCAATGCACACACCAACTTCCAAGTCTTGAACACACAGTGCTGTGACAGGAGTAACAAGGTCAGCAATAAGCCACCTACATGCCCATTATTCCCTTCTTATAATTCTCTATTATAAAGGTCCAAAGGGAAACTATAGATGAGTCAGTTCTCCAAAAGCAGGAGTGCCACCAGGAAGAAGAAAGGAGAAATGGCACCTCCAGCCTTCTGTGGTTGGTCTGCACCTGCCTTCCTCTGCTCCTCTAGCTCAAACCACAGAGCAGCTCTCCGGGAAGAGGCCTGTCAGAGGCTTCCTCCAAAAGCACATCTGTATAGAGGAGACGCTTTAGAAAAATATCCAAATCCTTCCTGCTCAGTACAACCTACTCTAGAAAGAGAGACTGACATATAAACTGATGCACTCAGCCAGCACAATCTGTGGCAAAACAAAATTGATATGCAATGAGAGCACAGTGATGGAGTCGACTAAGGCCATTGCTAGACCCTGGTTTCTTGAACCCTACAGGACAGTCAACCTTTTACAGTGACCTCATCCACACTGCATGTTCCTACTCCTCACTGATGCAGCTTCACCAGTAACAATACAACAGGGATTGTCCGGGTAGGTCATGAGTTGGCTTTTTAAACTCATGCCTTGCCAAGCCCAGATGTGCTTAACTTGGTGTCAGGAGGCCATGTCCTCCCCCTCCTGCTGGTAATGAGGAGGTTGACCCTAGCTGGGTGCAAACTAGTCAAGGAAATAAGGCCCTGGGGACTTCCAATACAGAAAAAAATAGCAGCTATTCACAGAACAGAGCAGCCCAAGCTCCCTTTGTCTGTCTGTTTGTGCCTACTGGATCTGTCCTTCAGCTAGTATAAATCTGCCCAGTGCTACTGCCTTTTTGTAGTCTCTGCCAGCGTACACCAGCTGATGACTTAATGCTAGCATCAATAATCTTTAGCACAAGAAAGGCCCCGAGAAATAAACAGTGCCGTAGAAAACCCCACACAACCAGTACATCAACAGTGATAATATTTCACACACAGCGGACGACAAGGAGAGGCTGTTTACAAACTCCCAGCCAGAGCGGTTGTTTAGCAGCCCAAGAGTGTGCAAAGCCCTTATTGCTGAATTCCTCCTGCAGTCAACAACAGGTACTGAGTAGAATCTGCCTCAAGATCTGTGGAGAATGCCAGATTAGAAATCAAACTGTAAAAATACCCTGCATCGGTGCTCGCATTTCTGTGCTGGTGTAATGTTGCTGACTGGTCCTCTCTGGCTCTAAATATGATGCTGTCAGTACTGAGAATATTTCTTAATCAGCACTGAAGAGTGGCTGCCAGGAAAGTAGAAGTGGTTGTCTATCAGTCTTGCTTCTGCAGAAAGAGCAATTGTTTAAAGGGGAGGGGCTGTTTGACCTTTCCATTTTTCAAATGTGTATCTCTTGGCCAAGACTGTGTCATTCTTTGTAAGCATTTTGTTGTTCAAAACAAATCTTATACTGTGAACTTTTTGCTTTTCCTCCCTTAGTATGTTGCCATTCAGCAGCCTCATACTAACAAATAAGGAACCAGCATGTAAGATCCATCTCAAAATAATAAGCAAGTGCAGGCACTCTACTCCCAAGGAACAACCAACTCTGCAGAAATGGGCGATGTCTTATGTGAACTGAGCAAACAGGTGTGGGGTGGTCAGTTGGCAAAGTCAACCCTACAATAATAAGAAAGACTTCTCCAGCTTGTGCTCAGAAACAATCCTCCAACACTAAACAAGTGCACACAGGCAGATACTGCTGAGGAATACCACCATAACAAAACAACCTGTGATGCCTACTCCTCAGAAACAACCTGTGGCAGTCGTGTAGAGAAACAGGTGTTGAGATATCTAAGGATGAGAAACATTTTAAGTCATGAAGGACATGCTTAAAATGCTTCAAAGCACCTTGAGAGCGCAGGGGCAATTATAAGAAACAGGGATGGCTAACAAACAAGCAGCTATATGTATATTGCTGTGCACCACACTCAGACATATCTTTCATGGCATTCTTGATGAGAAGCCAACACAAATGCCACTCTGATTAATCAGGAAACTACCCAGCAACAACACGAAAAGTTTGCACAACACCAGCAAGCACACAACTTCCTCTGAAAGATATCTGGGTGAGGAAAGGTGCTCCTTTCATCAATACAAAAAACCCTTAAGGCTTAATGCTTGTGCAGATAATGAAGCCAAACATGTTTACACACCAGTGATCATTACATGCAGTGATTAGAGGAGATCTTAGGTTAATTTTCATCTCTGCTAGCTAACAGACTGATGACCTGCTGCCCCACCTAACCTCTCCAGAGTGACAAGTTAGGTGCTTTCACAAGCCAACCAGGCTGTCTTGTTCCTGGGGAAAACAAAGACTTTCTCAACATATATGATTAAAAAGGTCAATGAACTCCAGGCACTCAAACTGGTGTAATAGGACCAGCTGAGCTAAAGCAAAAATTCCTTTTGCTGGAAGTAAATAGCACACTGTTATCTCCCCAGGGGCCAGGCAATAGCAGGAGGCATGTTCCCATTCATTCTGCCAGTGTGTGATATGCTAGTGCTCAACCTATAAATACAACAGTTTTGTTTTTTTTTTTTTTTAAAACAAGGCTGTGACAACTTCATCTCATCTGGGTACAACAAACATACTTGAGTTGTGGCTACACAGTGGAGCTTTCTGCTGTGTGTGTGTGGTGGTGTTTCTTCCACCACTAAACCATATGTTACCTACTGCATGGCATGGCTGCGTTTCTCCCAGTGCATTGGGAGAAAATCAGGGCAGCTCTCCATAGTGGCTGCACAGGGACAGAGAGCCTGGGGACGTGCACATAGAGCAGCACCTACACTGGAGACCATGGGCTTTGGATTGTGCTATCACAAGGGGAGCTTGAACGAGAAAGAAGCTACAAAGGCACTGGTAGGGGTCCAGAGGAAAGTTCCTTTTCCAGTGTGAAATAATAAATGAGCCCATGACAAAAAGGCAATACTGGGCTCGGGATTCTGCCTTGGTACTATGCCAGCTGACCACGCTTTGTACATTTAAAACTGACCTGGTCATTAATTTGTTACAGACTTGTGCAATGTGAACAAGGCCAAGTATCTTGGATAAAGATGTTTCCTCTTGCAAGCCAACTGGAAATGCTTAACGTTTACTATTCACAGAGAAATCTGCTTGTCATACCCGTGACACGGCATTCCTCTCGGCACTGCCCACTCAAGACACCTCCCAGCTAATTAGACTATAAGAGCAACTTTGCTGCATCAAACCAAAAGTCCACCTAATCCACTGCTCTATCTCTAGGAAGGGACAACAGTGGATGCTGAAGGAGGAATATAGGAAGCATCTGTTCTATATGATGATCCTTTCCTTGCTCTGAAAACCCCAAAATGAGAAACGTGGGCTTTCCAGAGTCAGTGGGTTGCATCTGGATTGTTGCATCTGCATAGCGTACAATTCTCTTTTCCATGCATTTATCTAATGTCTTTTTGAACTCATTTGGATCTAACTCTTTCAGGGAGACAAAAGGTAAAGTTATGGTAACTGGAGCTATTGATATTACAAAGGAGACATGTAAGAAGGGGGTTAAAGCTAATGAATGGCTTTGGGAATGGACGGGACCTTTCTCAGAACAGAACAATAGAGTGCTTTTATGAAACTGGGAGACAGAAAACACAAAACTATTAAAAAAGAAAGAACACTCTTTTGTATTATTCAGCATTAGCCTTCAGAACTCATCACCACAAGATAGGACCCTGTGCTAGCTGCAGAGAGAGCCCGTTTAGTCTTTTAGGTGATGAGAGTTAGTCAGATCAAGCAGGCTACAACTTCAACCAGTTTTCAGCTGGATGACTGGAAGTGAATTTCAGCTCATCCCTACTAACCAGGCTCAGAAAGAGGGGAACTGATGTCAGGAGCCTTCTTTGGTGAAGCGGTGAGTTAACAGGCAGGGGTGACATCTCACACAAATGCTGACCATCTAACTATGCTCATGAATGTTGCTCCTTGCAGGACCTCGCTTTCCAGGAGAGGAAAGGGAGTATGCTTTTCTTACCTGGGTTGCTGCTGGCTGACCGATGACCACCCATCCTGGACACTGCTGGTCACTGTGATGTGAGACAGAGACATTGGAAGCCCATTGATCAAGGAAGCCTTTGGGAGTGTAAACTCCACAGTCTTTGATGCTGGTCATTTGCTCAAATTCCTCACATACTCCATCACCATCATGGAAATAGCACCTGCTGGGTTCATCTGCCAGGAGAAAGCAGAGAAAAGCAATCACAAAGGACTGGCTACACACGTCTGCAATCTAGTTGCTAGGACCTGGTAATATCAGAGGTCATGTATCTGCTGGATCAGGTCAATGGGAAGTGAAAGTGTTGGTCACTTCCAGGCAACAGCAAGGTGATTTTAAGAAAGCCAAAAAACAATAGTCAACTTTTGTATTGGGCATCTCCCCCAAGATATTTCCTAACGTAAGGGATTTCCTGCTTATTTTCATCTGTCTCCATTTAAAAGGATGGAAACAGAAGAAAGCAGAGATAGAAAATACATAGCGAGACAATGTGGGTGTTGGCATAATTCCAGCGACTTGAATGGAAAAATGCCAACAGAGGGTTTGGTCTACCATGTTTCCCTTTTTGTTTTTAAGAGATATCTGCCAAACAAAAACAACAACAGCAACTGTGAATTTAGGAATGGCAAAACCTGCCAAGTTCACAGCCGTAGTGACCAAAAGGCCAAACAGATCTGTTTATCCACAGAGCAGATACAATATACATAGCGCCAGGGTAAGCTTGCCACATACACACACATCTTCAACCAACACGACTCAGATTTGACCTGAAAGGATCAAAAGCAGCAGGAGACTTTATTATCCTTGTCCATTTATTCTGTGGCTTCTCTAATGAGACTGCTAACAAAGATGCCAAATTTTTGAGGTTGTTTCTGTAACACCGGCCCATTAAAAACTGAACTGAGATCCATCTAGTCTTTTCAAACAGACTGCATAGTAATAATGACTTTCAATCATTAGAGTACTCTGTGAAATGGAAACCTTTGACCTGTTGGTATCCTATTTTGTATTGTATTATGATTGCCAGTCCCCAGAGGTATCCAGTTCTGACAGCCTGTTGTATTTTTGTCTGGCAAATAAACCTGCTGAAGAACCGGTAGGAAATTAGCCAGAGCTGCTAGCTGGACTGATGGAAATGATCCCCAAAGAGAGCCCTGTCAGTAGCATTGGACTATCTCGAGTTAGGTGTCAGAAAATCCAACGGCTGCTCAATTTTGAGCTAATTCCAAACTACTAAATCCCCTGTTTATTTTTCCTCCTAGTTTACACAGTGAAATACCATCATGAGCCAGGGAAAAAAAAAAAAAAAAAAAAAAATCAGTTTATTGCAATTCAATTATTTAATGACTTTCACTCCTTTTCCCCTCCCTTCCACCCAATCCCCCGTGCAAAATTCCAGGTCCTTAAGAGAGTGTGAGTTTGAAAGAATGGAGAAGTCTATCAGGGAAGAATGTCATTATGGTTTCATTTCATCATGACCTCTGCGGCCAAGTTGTGTTCGTGGATAAGCATGAGGAACTGTGTATTTGCTGGGCCAGTTCTCTGAGCTGGCGAAAAGGAGACAGCATGAATCTGGAAGCTGTTCAGCCATAGGAGTGTAGCCCTGTGTCTGAGCGAATAGTCCTGGGGTGGCTAAACTTCTTGACCCTACGTATCACATCTTAAAATCTTCATATGGCTGGGAGCCACCAAACATATACCACACACCTCGGAGAGCTTGGAGGAGGAGCTCCACAGACAAAAGATGACAATGGTTCCCTGGGGTGTCCCATTATGGTGGGAGGGGGCCAGGGTAGATGTGCAGATGGACCCTAAGGCAACCCAGCAGTGCTGGCCCCACGGGCCTTGCCTCCTCCCACATCCAGTTGCCCAACAGCCCTGATGCCAGTAAGGCCTGGCTGCTCCTCATCTGATAGTGACCCAGCTGGAAACGTGTGGTTGAACTGCTTATGAACCATATGTGCCCTGAGAGCCCCAGTTTGGACATCCCTGTAACACACCTTGGTTCTCTGCAGAGTTATTCATGCAGACACGATGCTACACCAGCACGGCTTGTTCACCCCCAGGGGAGCAGGAGAGACACGCTCTGTGTCTGGCCAGCTCAAGGAAGGGACAGAGTGAGTGCGTAACTGTGATGGCCATGGGGACAAGATCTTGATTCCCTCATCTTATCCTTCTGCATCTCTCATTCTGCTCTTCTCTCTGCAGAGATCTATCAAAGCATAGGCCAGCTCTCTGCTGAGCCCAAGAAAGGTGGGATAAAGCAAAGTGGCTCACCCGCCTCAGAGCACTATGTCCCAGTTTGAGCTAGAGTCTCAGCAGAAATCTCTGAGAAATATTCAGCTCTGGAAAGACTGTGACCAGCAATCAAAAAATCCTCAAGAACAAATCCCAAACATATGAATGAAAATACGTAGTTTTGGAAAAAGAATGTCCTTGTTATTTTATGAAAGGAAGTTTATTTCTGTAAAAAGGCAAAAAAAAGGGGAGAAAAAAACCTGCCATATTAAAAAGACCCAACCTTCAGCCTATAAACACAGGTACACTCAGATATGCACCTACAGTGAAACACCAGCACCCAAATGCATCCTGTTACACACCCACACTGACAGAAACCTTGACACACAAACACATGTACATTTCCTTTACACAGCCCCAATGCAGCCACCCCACTGATGCAGACACATACCCAGAAAGTCTCAGCCTAATTTTAGGTATTTTCCTTCAGACAGTGTTTCCCTGGCCCTCCTGAAGCACTGACTTACTTTCACGACAGGCACTGAAGTAAAGCACAACATTTATATAGCAACATACTCCTGCACTGGCTCCAAATGTTCCCTCCTAATGCGATGATAAATGTAATGGGCTTCTGATAAGATCATGTGTTTGGGATAAAAGAATACTCAAGACCTACTCCAATCCGATGACTTAATTCATACTCACATGGATGGGAAGGCAGCCTTTGAATAGTTGTGATCCAGGCCAGTGTGTGATCCTAACAGAGGCTAATTTGTTCCTGATTATGCTTAAGACTCCAATAAATCTGTCTGCTCGGAGTCTGCAAAACCCGAGGGAGGAACCGAATGGAGAGACTGAGATGTCTGAATTAAATGGAGACTGCCTAAATGATTAACAAAGTCTTACTGAACTGCACTGTCACGAGCCTTTCTGCTGTACCAGTCCTGGAGAGTCGTGACACCCTGCCCTCCATCGCAGCACAGGTTCACGGGCTGGATGACACCTCCCCCAAAAGCAGAGAGATTAGATACCCTCTCAATTTTGTGTGCTTTGAAAATTGATGGAGGAAAGTGGCTTTACAACCCTAGTTTTCTTTTAAGGAAGATCTGTAAGTCCTATAACTGACATGCCATCCTGAAGCGTACAACGCCATGCTTTGAGAGGAGCATTGGTGAGAAGAGGGGAAGACCCTTCCTGCCCATAAGCTTCCTACTTCTGAGTGATGGCAAAAAATTTGTCTTTTTTGAATCCTTCCCAGACACTGGTGCAAGGACTGACAAGGGCACCAACCTATGACAGGCAAATATGATGCATCACTGGGTGGGCTGCCAAAAAGAAGCAGAGGCTCTTCCTTCCTCAGGTACTGAGCACTGCGATCTTGGATGCTTGGTAGGTTACACATTAGGCTTTACATTTTCATGAGCAAAGTAAAGAACGACCAGATTGTTTCTTCCTACGATTGCCCTCACAAAATAAAAAACTAACAGGCTTCTTCCCTTTGCAAAGTGGTGTGAACACAGCTCAGTTAAATCTGTAGAGTCCTACAGGCTCAAAGCCAGGGAGAGCAGTGTCAGGAGTGGTATATTTCTAGGAAGCAGTAGCTAACAACTTTATTTCCATAACGGTGCAAAATGCCTTTTCTGTTCTCTTCTCAATTCCCATAACATGAAACAGATCCAGGGCCTTGGTAATATGAGCTAATTTTTGTCACCACAGAGGTCTAGAAGCTCCCAAGACCTGTACTGGTCATGTATGGCCTGCATCATGGACTACGTTCATCAACACCATGGACTTCTCACTTCGAAATTGAATTTTATTTGAAGGAGATATGGAGGAAGGGAACACAAAGGAAATCTGGTTTGTCCTCAAGAGAAAATGACTTCAAAAAATTAAAAAGCAGTTGCCTGGAAATCCAGCTTCAATCTAGAACAGTAAAATGTCTGCAGGCGTAGCACCTGGCAGAAGGAGACAGCGTCTCTGGGGGACTGACAACAGATGCTGAAGGATCCTGAGGTGAACTCGTGGAACATGTATTCATTCAGGCAGCCCAAGCTCCCTTCTGTAACAAAGTACTTTATGAAGGCACAAAAATGTTGGGGCCAAACCAAGGTCCTTCTCTTGCCCTTGCTTTGAGAAAAGGCAGTCTCTGGTTCAGCGAAGATTTCTTTGACACCTGGGAATCCCTGAATGCTCCATGGCAGCCATCAACCTGGAGAAGAGGGATTTCTTGGGGAAACAGATTGGCAGGACCTGACCTGCTTACTCTTGAAGTTGGGCTTTAAGATCCATAATGATCTTGTGGCTCTTGGGTACTGCACCAGAAAATGTTGCAAACTCCATTGTTGATTGCTTCTTGAGCTGTCCAAGCACAGTTGCAAAAGGCAGCCTTTCATATTGAATCACAGAATCACAGAATATTAGGGATTGGAAGAAATACAAAGCCTTCCTCTGGGGTTCAGAAATGAAAGGATGCACAAGGTGAGGCAGAAGATTTAGAGAGCACCTGGGAAGGGCCTGTCAGACCAGGTCTGGATGAGCAGGTAACTCCCCATCACAGTCACCTGTTCAAAGTAAGGCTAGAAAATCATCAGCAAAATGAATGAAGTCTGGTAGAGGTCAGGAAGCAGACGTGCAGGATATACACTTATCTCTGATAGGCAGCCTTCCACCTCATTAAAAAAAAAAAAAAAAAAAAAAGAGATAAAGAGATCCAATTCATAGCACAGGGCACATCCTCTGATGAGGCTTTTAATGTCCAAGCCGCATGGTCAGAGTGCTGGGGACAGACACTGGGGGCAGCTTCCTGTTTTCAGCTAGAACGCAGTGATTGGCATCAGCATAGTCTTTTGTGCAATAGCTACTATTTTTTTAAAAGACCAGACAAAAAATAAAAGAGTATTTTTAAGCTCAGCTGTTTACTTAGGGATGTTTCCAACTA